AACGACGTAATGAATCTGGTCTCACACAAGGAATGAGAAAATGGTCAGTCTGGTTTGCAAATTGCAATTGACAAGGAAATTGTGGTCAGGGAAGCCGCGCCGTTGTTAGCCGGCTTTGTGGGCCCATGATTTCGAAAGATGTGTCCAAGAAAGTTTTGTTTGCAATAACCACGCATGCAAAAGTTATTTTCAAAAGAGCGTACGTGCAAAATCTTCCTATATTTTTGATAAGGAAGGACTTTCTTGGCAGTGTAATTGTTTAACATAATTTATAACCAATTAACAACCTTGATCCTAGATTCTCAATTTTACTAATCTCAGCGGGCTCATTTTTGGCTCGGAGGTGTCCCAGCATTTCTCAGGAATTAATGTTGCTCTAACCAACAACACGCTCATGTCTTTAAATACCTTTTTTGTTACCCCCTTTTACTCAGTTGTTTTAGTCTTTCTTTTGTTGAGCTAACCGTCCCAAGTTGGGTGACTCAACAATGGAGATGCACCTTTGGTGCATTGATAATGGCACAAACTTGGAAAGTACTAAAAACAAGTAGGTTGGTCGACACAACTTTGCTATTTGTGAAGAAAATGGAAAAAGCAAGGTAGACACCTCTAGTTTTAACATGTTAACAAATTGGTCCTTGGTAGGAGAGTTGTTACTCTCCTTATATCCAAAAACACTCCTATTTATTTTTAGTATAAAATGTGTATAAGTGTAGAAGTGTGGGTGTGAGAAAAATAAAGAGAAAACAATGAAGAAAAACAAAGAGTAATGTTGAGAGCATTTCTCCCTTTTAGGTGCTAGAGAATTGAGGGATTTGGATTTTGATCCAAACATTGTAATCCAACATCTTAATAGTGGATTGATTTGCATTTGGGCAAGTGGCTTGTGGTTTTTCTTGTTTAGGTTTTCCACATAAAATATCTTTGGTCTCCTTTTTATTTCTCTTGTTTAATTTAATTTGATTATAATGGTTGATTGAGTTTCTTGAGGGATTGATTCTAGGCATTGGTGTTTTAAAACTTCAACAACTGGTATTAGAGAGATGTTTTCATACAAGGTGTTTGATAGAATTCCCAAGTGAGATTTGGGTGATTCTTGAGTCTAACAATTGTGGCAGATGAAAATGATGGTTCAACTATGATTAAGTTGAACATTTCTAACTACTCTTTGTGGAAGACCTTGATGGTGGACAAGCTATTTTGTAAGGACCTTTATGACCCAATTGAGCACAAAGATAATAGACTTACATAAACTAATGATTCTGATTAGAAAAAGATAGATCACAAAGCTTATGGTAGAATTCGTAAATGGGTTGACATGAGCATGATTCATTATATGGCTCAAGAAAAGGAGTCTTATACATTGTGGACTAAGCTTGAAGAGCTATTTGAAAGAAAGAATGCCTTGAAGAAAGCATCACTTATTAGAAAGCTAGTTAATCTCAAGTACAAAGAGGGTAAAATGTGTTCAAGCACTTGAATAATTTTCAAGAAATTTTGAGTAAACTAGTTATAGTGAAACTAGCCATTGATGATGGGATACAATCACTGATTTCATTTAGTTCTCTTCTAAATAGTTAGGAAACCTTGGTGGTAACTTTAAGCAACTCAATGAGGTGGGAAAATGACTTTGTAATTGGTTATGGATAGCATCTTGATTAAGGAATCCAATTTTAAGTCTGAAGCATTGATCCCTAAGTATAGAGGGAAGAGCAATCAAAGGTACACTCGAAAAGATAATGATAGACAATCTCAAGAGAGGTATAGTAAGGGGAAGTCTAGAGGTAGGTCAAAATTCAAGAGCAAAGTGACTTGTTACACCTGTGGAAAGTAAGGCCATTATCAAAATGATTGTTGACACAACAAAGATAAAGGTGTTAAGAAGAGGGCTAATACTCATGAAGGGAAGGAGACCCAGGAAAACACTGTCGCAATCACTTCTAATGATGAGGTATACTTGCTGTTTGAGAATGATAGTATTGATGTTGCTAATTAAGAT